GACCCCATCCTGACCAGGCTGCTCAAAGACGTCTTTCCTCTAATCAACACATCCATACTAGATCTGATTAACCTTTCTCTATTAACAGGTTATGTTCCACAGGCTTTTAAAGTTGCAGTAATTAAACCTCTACTCAAAAAGCCTACTCTTGACCCAGGTGTCCTAGCTAATTATAGATCAATATCCAATCTCCCGTTTATTTGTAAAATTCTTGAAAAAGCTGTTGCTAACCAGTTATGTGAGCATTTGCATGAGAATGATTTGTTTGAGGATTTTCAGTCAGGATTTAGAGTCCATCATAGTACAGAAACCGCATTGGTGAAAGTCACCAATGATCTTCTCCTAGCCTCGGACAAAGGACTTGTCTCCATACTTGTCCTCTTAGATCTCAGTGCTGCTTTTGACACCATTGATCACAGCATCTTACTGCAGAGACTTGAACATGTTATTGGGATTAAAGGAACTGCGCTAAGTTGGTTCAAATCTTATTTATCAGAAAGATTTCAATTTGTTCATGTCAATGACAAATGTTCCACACAAACTGACGTTAGTCACAGCGTTCCACAGGGCTCTGTGTTAGGCCCAATTCTCTTCACTTTATACATGATCCCTTTAGGCAATATTATCAGGAAGCACAACATAAATTTCCATTGCTATGCAGATGATACACAGTTATATTTATCTATGACGCCAAATGAATCAGGTCAGCTGGTCAAACTTCAAGCATGTCTTAAAGACATAAAGGCCTGGATGACCTGCAACGTCTTACTTCTAAACTCTGACAAAACCGAAGTTATTGTGCTTGGGCCTGAAAACCTTAGAAATCTGCTGTCTAATCATATAGTTACTTTAGATGACATAGCTCTTGCCTCCAGTACTACTGTGAGGAACCTTGGAGTCATCGTTGATCAGAATATGTCCTTTAAATCACAAATAAACCAAGTCTCTAGATCTGCCTGCTGTCACCTGCGCAATATTGCAAAAATCAGGAGCATCCTGTCTCAAAGTGATGCTGAAAAACTGGTCCATGCATTTGTTACCTCCAGGCTGGACTACTGTAACTCTTTACTATAAGTATATCCCAATAATTCCCTAAAAAGCCTCCAGTTAATCCAAAATGCTGCAGCCAGAGTACTGACAGGAACTAGCAAGAGAGATCATATCTCTCCCATATTAGCTTCTCTCCACTGGCTCCCTGTAAAATTCAGAATAGAATTTAAAATCCTTCTCCTAACATACAAAGCCCTTAATGACAAGGCTCCAGTATAGTTAGGGCTGGATCAGGTGACACTGAGCCTTCCCTTAGTTATACTGCTATAGGCCTAGGCTGCTGGGGGGCCCCATGATGCTCTGAGTTTCTCTCCTCTCCTCCCCAAATCACAAATATTATCCAGAAACCTAAAATGAAGCTGACATTCCCTGTAATTTAAAATAGCTTTGTTTATTTAAGAGTAAAGCAGGTGTGTATACTTTTGCACACATGCTGTAATAATAACAATGACAGAAAAGCTGCTCTTAGTGTGTGTTTATGTGTGTGTAGGAGCTGTGTAAGATGAATCTCAATGACTTTACTGTGGCAAATGTAGTGAAAAGTTAGTAGCTGCAGTTCATGACTATGGATCTGTGTGTCCTATTGCAGCTTGGTCAGACATACTGTAGTTCTGTGTGTGTAAGAGACAGAGAGGGATAGAGAAAGACAAACACAGGAAGATTGGTTGAATCATTGTGGAG